GAGAGAGAGAGAGAGAGAGAGAGAGAGAGAGAGAGAGAGAGAGAGACAGAGAGAGAGGGAGAGAGAATGTCATGAATGTTTGGTGGCAGGACAGAGAAGACTTCCCAAGGACAGCCATGCAAGAGGGAGCAGTAATGAACTGGATCCCAGGCGAGGTCAGAGATTTCAGCTTCTAAGCAGGCAGAGCAACTCTGTTTCAGTCCAAATGAGGTGGTAAGTGTGAGCTAAGGCCTCCCAGAGTGAGCAGGTGAATTTTAAGGTGAAAAGTAAGGACACTGAGGGGTGACAGGTTCATATGCAAAACCAGTCTGGCTCCAGTGTGAAATCAGATTGGGTGGATTTTGAGGGGAGTGAGGGAGAAAAAGCCTATTGGCTTCCTTATTTTAAAATTAGATCTATTCATTTTGTTTCATGTGTATTTTACCTGCATGCATTTATGTGCATGATCATGCTTGGTGCCTGTGGAGGTCAGAAGAGGGTATCAGATCCTGTGGAACTGGACTTGAAGTGATTCTGAATCACTATGTAGGTGTTGGGTATCGAACCCCGGTCCTCTGCACAAGCACAAATGCTCCTAACCACTGAGCCACCGCTCCAACTCCAACTTCCTTCTAGTACTCCTCGAACCATGACCACCAGCCCTTGCCTCTTCAAGGGGTCTGACCTACTTTAACATCTATCGCTAGGAGAGGATGGATCCTTTATTGAACTCAAAATAATCCATCCCCCTGCTGTGGCCTTCAAACCTCGCCCTTAGCTCCCTCTCTGGTGTCACGCCCACTTGACATCCTGTGCCTCCCCTGGGTCTTAGTCTAGGAAAAGGGGAATTGAGAGATGGAAGTGGTCTGAGGGACAGAAGTAGATAAGGACAAGTCAAATCTGAGGCCGAGTCTGCGGTCTAAGAGGTTAATCCACATTAGCGCGCAGGCAGCGGCTGAAGCAGGGGTTTCAGACCAATGGAAGAGGACCAGGGCCAATGCTTGGGAGGCACTCAGGGGCCAGGCACTTGGAGGCTTAGAAACAAGACCATCTTTGCTGGGAGGGGGTGCCTGAAAGACAGGACCCTGAGCGGCAGGAGACGAGAGCATATGAGCCCTGGACTAGTGAAGAACTGATGTTCCTAGTTAGCTAGAACCCTAGCTGATAAAGGATGGGCATTGTCCATGATGTGTGAGGTCCTGCGTTTGATCCCTGGCACCAGGAAAATAATAATAATAATCATGAATGGGACTCAGAGATTTGGGACTGAGAAAGTCAACGACAAAGGCAGACTTGTGGCGGACTTGGTAGGAGAAAAGAGCAGACAGCAAAGTTCCTCACAATCTGCAGCCGAAATAAACCTTACAAGAAGGCTCAGGTCTAGAACCAGAAGGCACAGAGACCAGAGCCAGGCAACCCCTGCTATTTCTACACCAAGATCAAAACCACACTCACATCCATGCCATAGCCTCTTAACACATACAAGTCAAGGACACTAAAGGCTGGTTCATGAACCCCAAAAGGCTGTGACTGTTGGGGAGCCCCGCCACCACTCAGGTGAATGAAACTCAGTGTGAGTATGATCCTGGGAGTAGCCCTGAGGAGGGTCTTTGGGGACCATAAGTGTCTGCGGTTGGCACGGTAACCAGGAGACTATGACATACTTGAGGGTGGGCGGGGTCACAGAACACAAGCTTTAAAGTAAGTGAATCATGTGTGGCTCATTTAATTTTAAAGGAGGACTCTGAGCTGAGCTTAGAACAATTTTTTCCTCTGAGTGCCATTTCCCAAAGGTACTCACAGAACAATAAGGTGTGACCATAATGGCTGCACTGAGTTGTCTTTTGGACAGTGTTAGGAGGGACATAAAGAAGGTGGACAGAGAATTAAGGCAATTGAGATGTATCGACGAACTCAGCTCCCGCTGCCTGTGTGACTTATACATGCATCCGTACTGCTGCTGTGACCTGCACCCCTACCCCTACTGCCTCTGCTACTCCAAGCGGTCCCGCTCCTGTGGCCTGTGCGACCTCTACTACCCCTGCTGCCTGTGTGACTACAAGCTCTACTGCCTTCGCCCGTCACTCCGCAGCTTAGAGAGGAAAGCTACCCGCGCCCTTGAGGATGAGAAAAGAGCGTTGGCCAAGTGAGAGGGTGTGATCTAGGCCTGCGTAGTCAGCCAGCGCAGCAGCTGCAGCAGCGGGGAGGAGGGGGGCGGAGGGGACGGGGACAGCTGAGCAGACGGGAAAAGGGATCCAGGCGAGGCGTAAGAAAGGTGGGTCCCTGGGGGGAATATCAAGGTTCTCCAGAGGCGGCGTGAGGCGGTGGGCTGGCAAAATTGGTGGGCGTCTACAGCGAGAGTGCCAGTGTGATGGAGAAGGTGGTCTCAATGAGGGAGAGAAGTGGCAGGTGTCGTTAAAAAGCTATTGGAAGCAGCAAGCTCAACGTTTCTTCTGGGTATGACTGGAGTGAGTATTTCTGGGCTTGCAGAAATGACTGCAGGAGAAGTCATAATCATTGACCAAACCCTTAATGTTTGCCAGAAACCTCAGGAGTAGAGAGTGGACTGAACGCCAGAGGCATTTCCTCTGTGCGTGGAAACCTTTCACTTATCCAGTCTCAGGGCTGCTCTGTTGGCCTCCCTTTCCAGTCTCAGAAAGGATGTGTGACAGCCTTCACAGAAGATTCAAATGGGGTTTTCACTGAACTGGGTAATTTAACGGGGGAGTTGGTATGTTTCTTTAACCCTTTCCCAACTTTTCACATATACCTACATCCTATATAGATGAGGGGCACTGCCCCTGGTTATGTAAATGACTGTACACTGTTTACTGAATACGGAGAAAGGATTAAAGAACCAGGTGGATGGCTGATTCCTGTAGATCCTTGCACTTGGGAGGTGGAGGCAAGAGGATGACAGGTTCTTGGCCAGCTTCTGATACATAGAGTATGAGGTCAGCTTGGGCTATGTGAGACTGTTTCAAAAATTTTTTTAAAATGGGATTGAAAAGTTGGAAAGTTCTTTTATATATGGATACATTAAGTGAAAAGGCCAGAGGCAGAAAAATCATGTTTAATAAGGGACTAGTCTTAAAAACAGAGCAGAAACAGATATGATACATAGGAAGATGAACAGATGGATGAATGGAAGGATTAATGGGTGTGTGCCTGGACAAAGCCCTTGACAACAGTGACTGTGATGTTTTATTGAGAAGGGTAATGGGACAATTGCTGCTGATGTCATCAGTTACAAGGTCAGAAGCAGACCTACCTGACAATCTGGGATGGAGTAGTCGCAAATTTATTTACAAATTTGAACCAATGTTTATTTTTATTCCTCAGGATGTCAAGTTCTTACATTCACACTGTGAAATAGGGTCTAGTTACTATTTGCTCTTTGTGAGTTGGTCTGTGTCTTCTCTCCATGGCTCTATGTCATCTGACTGCCCCCACTTCCAGGGCAGATGTTTTTTCTGCCCACTGTGTCCTCTTGCCTTTTCACAGGGCTGTTTCTTGGCACACAGTAGACTCGGCCTCAAGCCTTACTCTCAGTAGAGTGATCCAGAGAGGGCCAAGCTTTCTCGGCCTGTGAGAGCCGCGCTTTCTCCGGCCTGTGAGAGCCGCGCTTTCTCCGGCCTGTGAGAGCCGCGCTTTCTCGGCCTGCGGTACTTTCCCTGTGTGAAGTGGGCGGTGCCCTTACTTAGTTCCTGGACCTGTGACCCTCAGGTTTGCCCTCCTTTATCTTCCAATTCTCTTTTCTTCCCCAGCACTTTTCTTCCAGTTCACGCCACCTTGAAAAAGTCCTGCGCTCTCTTTCCATCAGCCTGACCTTTCACTGTCTGGAAGGACTCAGTGTCAGCTCCAACCCTACAGCTTCAGTTTTCCTGATGGAGGTAAAAGCAGGAAAGCCCAGATCTGAGCTCCAATCCCAAAGGACTCATGACCAATTTTTCTTCCAATGAATTGCCTTCTTTTTTCTTATCTTTAATCTAGTTCCTGACCTGTGGCTGAATAGGTCTCAAAATAATCAATCTCCATTCAGTTTTGTTTTGTTTTTTTAAACCATCTTTGGTGTGAAACTGTGCTCAAGGCTTTTTGAGTTTAGAATTCATGTTTGCCTGACCTTTTGCCCCTTTAAAGAATGACTGGGTGCCAGGCGGTGGTGGCGCACGCCTTTAATCCCAGCACTTGGGAGGCAGAGCCAGGTGGATCTCTATGAGTTTGAGGCCAGCCTGGTCTCCAAAGCGAGTTACAGGAAAGGTGCAAAGCTACACAGAGAAACCCTGTCTCGAAAAACCAAAAAAAAAAAAAAGAATGACTGGATGACTGGGCATCAGTGAGTTGTGACATGTCTTTTCAGATGTCTGACTATGTTGTCCAGAAGATTCTCTCTCTTGATCTGTAATTGCCTCAGCTATATTGGACTTTTTTTCCTCTGTGTGCAAGTCTTCCATGTCTCCAGTGTCTCCTTGTCAAGATGACTGAATTACAGTTTTAAAACGCCCTCCACAAGTATCTGCTGTTGGATGGATGTGTGTGTGCAGTGGGCTGTTTTTAGACAAGGATTTAAAAGTCCTGCTCACTACTATTGTTTCTTAAGCAGCTACTTTAAAAGACAGTGTCTTCCTTAGCAGGGACCAGACTCAGCTCTTCTGTCTCCTTAGCCACTTCCCGATTTTCCTGGTCTCGCCTGTTGCACTCCAAGCTCTGGCAGTGGCCTGTCTCTTCCCTCACTTTTGGATTCAAAGGGATGGTGGTGACAATTGGGTTTTCTTTCATGAAGCCATGCCACCAGCCTGAGTTAAGCTTGTACATCCACACTTCGTGGGCTTCCCTGTCTCTTGTGCTTAAGCTAGAGAAACTAACAAACCCTGTCCTTCCTCGGTCCTGTCTAACGGCTGGACGCTCGTGGTGCCGCTGACTCCTGGCTTGGGTCCTTGCCAGCTGGTGCACCTCAGCTGGCAGTTGTGCCCTTGAGCTGCACTGGGCTCCACCTCTGTGCCCTCTCCTAGAGACCAGTCCCAAGACGGCCTTCCATCCGCTCACCCAAGCATCTGTGGTTAGCCTGACTCTTAATAAGAAATTCCCTGGAAAATCCCCCACACAAAATATGCCATCTTAAAACCTCAACTATTTCTCTTCTCTTTTACTTTCACACTATGAGTTTGAGGTTTTCACCGAATCTACTCAGTCAATGAGGCTGATGCAAGGCAGAGGTTTTATGGCTACCAAAAAGTCGATTTCCCCTTCCGCTTGCTGCTTCTGGGTCCACTGATAGGTGGGAGTAAGCTGCCTCTTCAGTGTCTGTTCTACTCTTTCAAACCCCTAGGTCTCAGAATCCTTCATCATTTGACTACACAGGGGAGAGCTGATGCCCATGTAGGTCAAATGCAGCTTTTAATTTTATTTTCTGTGCTAGAAATAAAACCGAGGTCCTTGTGTATGCTAAGTAAGTATTCTATCACTGAATTACCCTCCAGTCTTAGATGAGTGTTATTTGGCTTAACCTTTTTCTTTAATGATACAGGCTTGGGAGTTGTTCACTGAAGGTCTCAGACTTACGGTAAAGCTGTTAAGGTAGAGCCTACATAGCCTGATAAAGAGGACTTAGAGCTCATGGAGTAAACACCAGATACCTAGCATTTCCTGTTTCATATCCCTAATGCCCTGGTCGGCTGTTGTCACTTTCTGACAATGAAACATTAAGGAGCAGTGTTCTTGATGACTAGGAGGTGGCAGAGCCAAGAAAGCCACACCTGCCGGAGTCCAGAGCACATGTGCATAGCAACCTATCAGTTTTTAGTGTGACCCTGAACCAGTGTTAGCGGCATCACCCGGAACTTACTAGACAGGCAGAGTCTCAGCTCTATACGAACCCAGGGAAGCTAGAGCTCAGCGGGAGCCAGACACTGTGTTGTGTGAGCCCTGCTGGAAGAAGGATGCCCCTGCACCCCACAACCTGCCCCCTGCTGCAGAGTGACATTCGTCTACTCCACAAGTCTAAGGAAAGCAGGAAAGCGGGAAAAGAGAGCAGAGAGGGGCTGAGGAGACGGCTCAGTGGCTAGTGCTTGCCTCACAAGCACGGAGACCCGAGTTCAGATCTGCAGCACCCACATCGTAAAGCTGGGTGCTGTGGCATCGAGAGCCCCAGCACTGGGAAGGTAGAGACAGGAGGAGCTCAGGGTGCTGGCAGCCAGTGCAGTCTAATCAGTGAGGTCCACATTCAGAGAGAGACCCTGTCTAAATCTAAGGTTGCCCGATGTCAACCTGGCCTCCACTCACACATGTGCACACACACAAACATGTGCACACACACAAACATGTGCACACCCACCGGGCAGGGGCAGAAGGAGGCAGCTGAAGATAAAGATGTGAGGAGCGGAGTTTAGGTAGCTCTTTGGAATGGGTTTAAAATCAAGAGAAAAAGAATGTTCCAGTGAAGTCTAGAGGGCTCTGTGCTCTTCAGAGTCACGTCTTTGTGACGTTCTCCCTCACTGGGTTGGAACTGATCTTTCTGGAAACAGCTGAGTATATAGCTCTACAAGAAAGGCAGGGTGTTTTGCATTCGAGTGTGGTTGGACATGGGAGTGAATACAGCCGCGACCAGGAGGAAAGAGGGGAGCTCTGTGCACGGGCGTAGTTCCCCCACAAGCTGGCAAGCTCCCCTTAATCCAAGGGGGCAGGGCACAGGAGGCCCCGTCCCCTGATCAGAACCTTACAGTCATGGAAAAACCCATTTGAGGTTGTAGGTAACCCACCAGGCAAGAAGCATGTCCCAAGTTCAGAGTTGAGTTTGATGAGTCAAATGTGGCCCCAGCAAATTCTCCTACAACCACACATTCCTACTCATAATCATTAATGTAGAAAAGATAAGAAACCTGGCCTGGCTGAAAGTTTTAGGCAGTCTTCTGAAGACTCAAAGTGTGGGACCTTTGGATGGTGTGGGGCCCCTGGACAGTGTGGGGCCCCTGGACAGCTAGGGACCCCTGGACAGCTACTGCAAGGCCAAAGGAGCCGAGGTGATAGGAACAGAGGAAGGCAGGGAGGGCCAGCAATAGAATACATCTGACTGTAGCTGGGACTCAGGTGTCTAAGAGGACACAGATCTGAAAGTTGGCTGTGATTGACGAGTCAGGTTCCCAGGTTAGGCTCTAGCTCCTGTGGTGAACAGGCCAAGCTTTTCCTAGAAGAATCAGCTGAGGCTTAGGGAACCTGCTTGGGATTCTCGGCTGGCTTGCTTTTGTTAGTCCTAGCCCACCATCACTATCATTAATGTCAGGATCCCATGCTTCTCATCTAAACAAGACTGACTTTCCCTGTGTTGTATGCACGAGCACACACACACATAAACACACAAACACACACATACACACACACAAACACACACACACA